AAAATACAAAAAATATTACATTTTCATTTTTATTATTATTTTGGACCAAAAATGTCATTTTTACAATATACTTTTATTTTTTTATAAATTAGTATATTATTGCACATAATTAATAAATAATTTTTTACTTATTAAGAATTAGGGTTTCTTGCCCTAAATAGGAAAAATAATTAAAATTGATCTTCTTTATTTTACTTTTCACATTGGAAAATTACTTTTTACATACTAAAAACATTTTGGCATAATACATTTTATTTACATTTATTTATTGTATTTATTTCAATTATTGTACATTTAAATATTGTATCTTGTACATTCGATATGGTTGTAATAACTTAGAATTTATTTTCTTGTCAAATACTCCCAATTCAAATTTGTACCCCCTCCCTATATCATGTTGTAATAGTGTAGCATTTAAATTCTCGTACATTTAAAAGCTTTCAATTATGCCATGCTTAGACTTAGGGTTTGTATGCAAATAAAATCAACAATTAATTTGACCTAATTCAAGATAACATGCATGAAAAACAAACACAATACACACTTGCACCCCTAGGGTTTCATCCACTTGTTGCCTTCAAAAATGGGCCATGGTTGCATGTTGAGTACTTTGGCAAAACAAAAACAAACAAAAAGATCATAGTCCCTCGATGACGCTATCTGAGTTGCCTAAATAAAATGATCAAGTCCCTCAAGAAAATTGCCAAAGATACTTGACACAATTGCTATCATGGTCAATATGATGACCCGCGCCTGTCCCGTTAAACATCCTAACACAAGGTTGTTCACCAAATACAATGGTGAAGCAACACTGTTAAAAGGGTTAAGAATATAAGAAAGATCTTTGAGTAAAATAAGGTAAATAGCTCTTAGTTACTTGATCAAGCTTGCAAAAACATCCTTGCTACTTTTCAAAACACACTCCACAACACAATTTCAAAACCCTACTTTCAAACATTGAAAACCTTTCAAAAGACAAAAACACCTTTGTATACATTCAAACAAGAATCATTACAAAGGTTGCCACAATGATGGCCTCTTTTCAAAATATTTTCCAAAATCACACACAAAGCACCATTTCAAACAATTGAAAAGCACCATTTCAAACAATAGAAATACAAAGAAAGTGATCTAAGTAAGTAACTAAGAGCCCATGGATAACCATGGATAGAAAGGGTGCTAATACCTTCCCTTTCTATAATCTACTCCCCGAACCCAAGAAAACATCTCAAAGGTCTTTCCTGTGCTTTTTGACCTTTCCTTAGGATAAAATAAAAAGTCGGTGGCGACTCTTGCTAAACCGAAACATTTGCGAACACAAACGCAAAATCCCAAGTCAATTCTCCCACCGTATCACAGTATGGGTAGGGTACCATAGTATTTGTCCCCATACATGTGGTTGTAAAAATTCTTTGTACCCGAACCCACGCGCACTCGGGTAACAATGTTAGCATCCGTACTCCTGCCCTCTGGATATGTAAGTACCCATACTCGTACCCGTTACCCGCATTGCTAATAAAAAATAAATATATAAAATATGAAATATCATATTATTTTAAATTGTTAATAAGATTTAAATATTTTCAATAAACTTATTGTTGAATTATTAAATAAAAGAACACTCGTGTTACGAATGTAATGGTTTAACATCGATGTATTTTTGAAAATTGACAGACATTTATTTTAATAAAGTAATATAAATTAAAGTATATATATATATAAATATATATATATATATATATATATATATATATATATATATATATATATATATATATATATATATATATATATATATATATATATATATATATATATATATATATATATATATATATATATATATATATATATATATATATATATATATATATATATATATATATATATATATATATATATATATATATATATATATATATATATATATATATATATATATATATATATAGTGCGGGTATGGGGCGGGGTGGGTACTAAAGTACCCATATCCGATAATTTAAGTGGGTAGTTACCTGAGCCTGTGTCTGTACCCATTTGTGCGGATTTTTATCCTACCCGTTGTGGGTATTTTTATGGATACCCATAGAGGATGAGCCAAATTATCATCCTTATACAACCCGAATACCTTTACACTGAGCCGGCAGGCCCTATAATTTCTGAAATGTACATAATATAAAATAAATTTAAATAAAAAAAATCCAAATATACCTCACAAATATATTTTACCAAAATCACGTGTTAGTGAAACAAGATGACGCAAAAGTACAATTAAACCCCCAAAAAAACCAACATAAATAAGGCCTAGACTACAAGTTTATGACTCCTAATGTGTCCATGGTTCTTTTTCGCTTAATTAATTATTCCCTCTGTCTTAAGTGTTATTTTTTCGCAAAATACCCTTTTTAGTCTCTTAACTTTACCTCTGAGTCCATTCTGGTCCCTTATCTCTAAAAAGTTCCAAAGTGGTTCTTTAATTGTTCAAAAAAGACCACGTTTATCCTTTCCGTCTAGACTGTTAGTCAAAGTCAATGGTAGAGCTTATGTGGCATATATGTGGCATTGCACGTGTTTACATTTTTGTCCATGTGGATTAAAGTATTTTTAAAAAAATGGTTATAGCATTGCACGTGTTAAAGGATCAGATTACATCTCCAACACTTAGAAGGTAATCCTCGGGCAGCCATTATTGGTAGCTCCAATCTGCGAACAAGTTGTGAGCAAAGCGAAGGCACAATCCGACCACAACATTATAATTGAATCAAAGCGAAGGTGAAATCGACCACAACATTGCTCATTGTAGGTAAGTTTCTGTAAAACTATGATTTTCGTAGTTAGGGTTTTTTGAAATTAATGTTTCTGAAATCAAATATCTTCCTATTCATTTAGGACCTAGTCTGAAATGGATGAATATCTCAATATTACAATACACTATAGTGGCGAATTTGTTATTGAGGACATGAGTGTTTACGAAGGAGGTGAGATTGATGATTTAAGAGTAGATGTTGATAAGTGGAGCTATTTTGAATTGATAGGTGCTATTAAAGAGTCAGGTTATGCAAATGTAGAGAATATATATTACATGGATCCTACTGCTGGGGTGAATATGTTGGTTGATGACAAGGGGGCATTAGAGATTGTTGATCTATATATGGTTCATATTAGTGTTGAAGTCTTTATTCAATACACGTTGTCAAAGCCTGATAATGCTGATGAGACTGAAGTTGTGTTAGATGAGGTACTCCTTAATGTGATAGTTAATGAGGTAGTAGTTGCGCTTAAAGAGATGTTGAATGAAATTGATGTAAGGGAAGATGGTGTTAGAGTAGGTGATGTTAGGGAAGAGGATGTTAGCATGGATGGTGTTAGGGAAGATGATATTAGGGAAGATGGTGTTCATGCAGTAGGAACTGATGATAATGTGCCAATGGTTAATGAGGTTAAAAGTGATGATATTGGACATAGGGCTGGTGAGGTTGATGATGTTGTTAGACTGACTGATGATGATGATAGTTCTGATGATAGCACCTTCAACTATGATAGTGCAACATAGGTAGTACTTGATGATGACTCTGATGAGTATGACACTGATTTGGAAGAGGAAGAGGGTAACCTAATTAACTATGAACACATGAAAAGAAAAAAAGGTAAAGAAAAGTGTGAAGAAAACAAAGAAGATAGTAAAGGAAGTGACAATGAAAGTGATGATCTAGGAAGTGACTGTGATAGTGATGATAGCAGTAGAGTTAGGAGAAAGAAGTATCCAGTTTTCAAGCTTCAAAAGGATATGGGCAATTACAAATGGGAAGTGGGAACCTACTTTAGTACAACATAAACTTTCAAGGAAGCCATTACCTCTTATGCGGTCCAATCTGGCAGAAATTTAAAGTTCATTAAAAATGACAAGACTAGGATTAGGGTTAGGTGTAAGGAAGGATGTGAATGGGAATCCTATTGTGCTAAATTGTCCACTGAGGATTCTTGGAAACTACAAAAGGTAGTAGACATTCATAGTTGCAGTAGAGAATATAATGTGAATTTAATGAAGACTAAATGGTTGAGCAAGAGGTTGTAGAATTCACTTAAAACCAACCCTAGAATGAAAATTAAGGACATTAAGGAGAAGGTACAGAAGAAGTGGAATATGGGGAAAAAGGAGGAATTTAGAGCAAGGTGAGATAGATGGTTCTAGTAAAAAGATGAGAAGGACAGGATTCATTATAAAGTGTAGCAGGTGTAAGAAAGCAGGACACAACAAGCTAACTTGCAAGGACATGATTCATTGTAAAGTATGGTTTTTGGATCTGTAATAGTAGTGTTTTTGGACCTGTAATATGAAATTTTTTGAACATGAAATTTTTGAATATTAGTGGTATCCACCACCTTATGTATTGTTGTTGACTTCATTCAAATTTATTGTGAGAAACCCCTTCATATAATTGGTTTTCAATGATAGCAAATATATGTGAAATAATCAATGAATGTTAAAAACGCTTTACCTACATGTGTGCATTGTAAAAAATATAGTATAACATGTTTAAAATGGGTTAAGAATGTATTTTACACATAAAATATTGTTATGAGTCGACACAAACAGCTTTGCATCGACACATACTTAAGCAAAGAATCATAAAAACGATTATGCTTCAGTATGAGTCGACACCTCCATGTTATGCATCGAATTATAACATGTTGATGCCCCTGGAATACAACCTTCAACCTTTATGCATCGACACATGATATGTTGATGTTCCTGAAAAACATTTTTGAACTTTTATGCATCGATACATAACATCATGCATCGACTCATAACACATTTTGTCTTCAAAAATCAAAAGTTCAATTCAGTATGTGTCGACACATACGTGTTATGCATCAACTCATGTAAAATAGTTGGCTCTATAATATATTGTAATATCTGCTTGCATCGACTCATAACAACATGTATCGACTCATTTTGTGTTACATAACTAAAATGAGTCGACTCATGCTAACATGCATCGACTCAAAATTATGTATTGTTTACAAAATTCATCAAAAATACAGTTCCAAAATTAAACCAGTTTCATACTGGAATTTACACTAGTTTCATACAGTTGCATACTGGAATTTACACCAGTTCCAAAATTCATAACAAAATGATACAAATAGAACATACAACTTCATCAATTAACAACATCATCTTTTTTTCAAATGACATTATAAATGATACTGTAATTTACAACATCACCCAAATTAGAAAAATTAACAACATACAAAACATTCTTTTCCATTTTTTTCTTCAGAATTCATCATTTTCTTCATTTCAATTTGTAACCTCCTTATCTTTTGTTTCAGTCCATCCTTTTGTTCATTTAAAGACAGTATCTCCATTTTTGCCGCATCAAGGTTATTTTGAAGCTTCTCCAACCTACTATTTTGCTTCTTTGTAAACTACTCTTTCTCATCCACAACATCATCATAGAACCATTGAAAGTATCCACGTCCAGTTTCAGATGAACTCTGTGTCAGTCCAAATTTGGATAGATCAGAAAAAATAATATGAATAAGACATTTAATTTCTTTCTTACCTTATAATGACGACGATCCCAGAATTGTTTCCCAAAATTCGTGTGAATTGAAGCCATTCGAAGAACAGCCGTGTCTCCACAGTCAAATATGAGTTTTCATCGCAAATTACCATCTCCACAGCCCTTCGGATCGTATGAAGATTGCTTCATTTTCCTCAAGCAATTACAGAATCATAAGGGGAAGAAATTTATTGAACCCTAGAATTTGGGGGAGCATGAGGTAGAAGAGAAAGAAATGGACAAAGAAGATGAACGAAGAAGATGAAAATACGACGCAGCCTGCAAGAGGTGAACGAAGAAGATAAAAATAGGATTTCACATCAGCTGCCACGCATACAAAACAAACGTCAGTTTGTGTCTTTTGGACGGAAATGACTACTGTGATCCTTTTTGAATAATTAAAGGACCACTTTGAAACTTTTTAGAGATAAGGGACCAGAATGGACCCAGAGGTAAAATTAAGGGACTAAAAAAAATATTTTATCTTTTTTTTTTAGATTTTTATATTTTTTAAGATAATGATTAATTGTGTTGATTTCAATAATAAAATAAATATTATTTACTAAAATATTCTTATTAATAATAAATAGTATAATATTTATATGATTTAAAATACAATAAATAATAATAAATTAATGAAAAGAAATAATAAATATCATATTGATATTTTAAAAGAATAAATAATTTAAGAAAAATTAAAATAGAAAAGAAGATATATATTGTGAGAGGGAGAAGTAGAGAGTAGTATACTTTATACTTATCTTAAAACTCTCAAATTCAGCACCTTCATCAAAACTTTTATTTCCAAAGGTAAAGTAAAACAAAAGGCACTTAGTGACTAGTAATAGAATGGCTGTAAGCAACAACATAACCGCAATTCTAAACTTCATAGCAACACTCTCCTCAATCCCAATAATAGCCTCCGGCATATGGCTAGCCTCAAAACCAGACAACCAATGCATCACAAACTTCCGATGGCCAATTGTCATCATCGGCATCCTCCTCCTCCTCGTTTCCTTGTCTGGTTTCGTCGGTGCTTATTGGAACAAACAAGGTCTCTTAGCACTTTACCTTTTCACTATGGCGGTTCTAATCGTTGTCCTCCTCATCGTCCTCGTCTTCGCCTTCGTTGTCACGAGACCCGATGGAAGCTATGTTGTTCCTGGTAGAGGTTACAAGGAGTATGGTTTGAATGGAGCTTCGTCTTGGTTGAGGAAAAGGGTGACTGGCTCTGGGAGTTGGCAGAAGATTAGACCGTGCTTGGCTGCTTCTGGTGTTTGTGTTAAACTCAACCAGAATTATATCACTGCTGATCAATTCTACAGTTCTCACATCTCTCCATTGCAGGTAACAAACTCAAGTCTCTTTTTTTCTTTATCTTTCTCAAAGTTTGTAGATAAAACAAGATAATTTCATTACATGCAGAGTCGTCTTAACTTTTTAGAGATTCTGTATAACAAGAGGTTTTAGAGCCTCTACTATGGTCTGTCTTGCACATCCTCAGAGACGGCTCAAGGCTCAAGACGTAAATGATTGATTCCATAAAAGAAAAATTATTTTTGGGGTTATTTATTGTTGCTCTTTTGTCTGTACCTAAAATCTTAGGCCCACATCACATGGTACCATGTTACTATGTTTAATTCCAATTACTGAATTCAATAACTACTGTACTTTTTTACATTCATACATCATAATCATAAATGGAAGACTTTAGTTTGTGAGGTTACTATATTGTTTTGGTAGCTTGTAGGGGAAGATAGTGTCTGTGACTTTTTAATTGGACCAATAAATTGTGCACCGTCTCATTCATATTATAATATGCATAATGCATTTGTTAAATAAAATATGTTTGGTGGATCCAAAGATACTTTTTATTGCTGGTGACAATGATAAACTACTTGTCATATAATGTGAATTTCAATCCATAGTTTTCAATCTTATTCTTAACTTGACCTACCAATTAGACATTGGATTATTATTTGTTTGAAATCAGAGGTTTACACTCAACATGTCTTGAATCTTGAAAATGAGATTAGACACATCCCTTGTTACCAGCTTGTGGAACCTTTCTTATATTTTATGGGGACAATGATTGAGGCACCATGAAAGTTCCATGCCAGATAGTAACTGACTTATTCAGAGAAATCATTAGAAATTTAGACATTAATTTAATCAGCTTTGGATTGTTAATTTCATTGTTTTGTCTCTATTGCACAAGATAAATATGTTATTGTTCACAGCTTGCATTGTGACATGGTTTGGTCGTTGTCTACCCCTGTGTTTTTCATAATTAGAAATCTAACTCTATATCTCATAGTTTACGACACTCGCATTCTCTGCGTACCAACCAATCACTGAATTATGTTTGTGTACTTGTGAAAAATACAATAAGATGAACTCTGCTCACGTATGTGAATGTAAAAGATTTTAGATAGACTCTAGATAAGTAAAGAGTGAATGATTCTTTTCAACTCTTAAGAGTGTGTTTAGATGAGGTAATTAAGAATTTTTAAGAAATTCAAAATTCTAACCAATTCAAATAATTCAATTGAAACTCATTCAATTTAAATTTTTTATTTATTTGGATGTAGTATTAAAATGATTCATTGTTAAATTTTTAGGGTCATTTTCGTAAATTTTTAAACTTTTGGGTCAAATTTAAAATATGAAAAATATGGACAAAAATTTGCAATTTTTGAAAATTTCCAGGACCAATTTATAAAATCTGAAAATTATTTAGGGACTTATTTGTAATTTTTTGAAAATTTTGGGAGTAAATTTACAATTTTCATAAAATATGAGGACCATTTTTAAAATTTTGATAAATTAATAATAAACAATTCAACATTCAAATTATGGAACAATCTCAAATTCTATACTTTTTGGTGTAATTTGAAATTCTTTAAGTTTGACTTGAATAAAATATTTCATAAATTTATATCATTTCAACAATTCTCCATATTTGTTATTCAAACAATAGAATTTGATCATATCATTTTAAATTCCCTCAAAAAATCATTTTTCCTCATTAAAATATTTCATTCAAACACATTGTTAAGGTTGAGATATTTATAGATTTAGTTCATGGGTCAAGTCGTGGGTGAAGACTCGGTTTCATCCTAACGGCTCGATTAGACCGTGGGGATAGGAAAACTAGGTCTTCCCCGTCAATGGGACAGGTGGTTTCTTCCTTAGAGAAGTAGCGATAACAACTCTTTTAGAAACACATGGTGTACCACATATTAATACTATCATAACTCAATAATCTCGGTTTGGGCTTGACGCACATGTCTAAAGTGAGATGGTTTGGGTCTGGCGATCTTATAACACGCCATGTCATGCACACCAATTTATCCTCTGATCTCTTATAATGTTATTCGATTGATTGAGTTATGGACCGGTCTCTTTCAAAACTCAACTAAAGTTATCCCAATCCAGTTTGTTATTTCAATTTTATTATTGAAATTTTTGTTTGATTGTTTTTTTTTTTTGTTGCAGTCAGGATGTTGCAAACCTCCAACTGTTTGTGGATACAATTATGTGAGTCCTATAATCTGGACAAACCCTGTGAATCCCATGGCTGATTCAGATTGCAATTTATGGAACAATGATCAGAGCCAACTATGCTACAATTGTAATGCTTGTAAGGCTGGTTTACTTGGAAACCTAAGAAAAGAATGGAGGAAAGCAAATATAATTCTCATTGTGGCTGTGGTTGTACTTATATGGGTCTATGTCATTGCTTGTAGTGCCTTTAAGAATGCTCAAACAGAAGACCTCTTCACCCGTTACAAACAGGGTTGGGTTTGAATTTCATCTTATTTTCTCATAACTATGTAGCATCGACACTTTAAGTTATAATAATTAATGAATCACTTTCATTTTGTGAGCTTGTTAGATATTATTATTATTATTATTATTATATTACTATTTTGTTGTATTTTTGTAAAGGTAGTTAGTCTTTCTTATAATTTTTAGTATTTATGTTCGGATACTATATTAAATATATTTGAATTTCAATTCGAAGAGAGTCATCTTTATCATTACTCTGGTGTAACTCTTATTCTTGTAGTTTTTGTTCATTCTATTGAAATTTTAATTTAAAGAGTCTTTTTCTTCTCTATGATTCTATATGTTCATTATTATTAACATGATATTAAAGAGCTTGGTTTGATTTTTGAAACTATCATAAGGTAGTTTGCATATTTTATGACTTGGAGCAACAATTTTTTTTCTTCTGTGAGTTGCTGGAGCAGCGATTTCATCGGTGATCTAAGTTGATAATTCATTGGAATTTAAAGGTGATTTTGATTAACTAAAGTATTGGATAATTCTTTGAAGGTTGGTCACTGTGTATTAATTAATTTCTTTGGCACACGTTACTGTACCATACCGTCACGGTTTCTTTGGATGAAAATTAGTGCTTGGATCTTTGGTAGTTTAGGTTACTGTATCTTGAATACTTTATACTCTCATAGTTGGTAGTATAAAGAAAGTAACTTTTGGTAGTATAAAGAGAAAATAGATTCTTGTTGAGTACAATAATTTTGGATACAGTGACAATTTTTTTGTGTGTGTTAACTTTATTTGATATTTGGCTCAATTGTGATGTTTTAGTTATCTTATATAGTTGATTATAATGAGTAATATATAGACGACTCTTTCGAGTCAGTTAGTGTCTAATTCATGGAAGAAAATTATTTATATTGATAAAAATTTGGAAAGGAAAAAAGATGTGGAATTTTGTTGATGGAATCTCGGTTAAACCTACAGATAAAAAGGATGAAGCAAAATATGCAAAAGAGTTGCAAATATGAGATGTTAGCAATTCAAAGATTCTTACTTGAATCAATAATTCTGTT